TCTGGCGAGCACTTTCCGGGCCATACGTTAGAAGAGCTCCTGTAAGTGCCATTTCGTGGTCTTTACAGAAGCATCGAGACCCGACCTACCCTCAGAGCATCTTTTTCTTGTCATTAGTACGGAGATCAACAGCCACATTCGATGCACTTTCAGTATGCAAGCCAAATCTTCAAGTTGAATTCCAGGCATGGGTGTGGGGATGTCTCAATCCCATACTTCATTATCAGGAGTCGCGCGATCCTTCATTCCTAGTCTCAGAACATGGCTTCATGATTACACCATAGCCGGAGATGGTCATATGCGGTGCAAGCAGACTTAGCTAGATCTAGTCAGAATGTCGAAAACAACACTCATCTTTTGAACTTGAGTTTTGATGTTGTTATCAGCATGACCTCACTATAAGGATCGACGGTGGTTTTGTGGCCCTGTTTACACATCTCCAAAGACCATGCAAACCAAGTCGACGGGACATGGTTAACACGGAGGGAGTCACCTCGTATACCAACTGACCGCCTCATTCGGAAGAAAGATGTTGGGCTGGGTTGGGCCGCCTTGCAAGATTCTGGGCGACAATCATCGACCACGACTCCCTGCATCAGAACGAGGCATCCGATGTGCGCGACTCGCCTTCATTACCGCTTCGAGGCACCCATCCATACACTCTTTGACCACAGCCAAGCCTGATTGTCGAACACCGCCAGCCCCAGTACATACAACATGCCCGTCCATAGTTAAGTTATGCGAACACTTCATCCATTCGCTGATCTACAAGGACCTCAAGACTGCGGTTACACACAAAGGTCATACCCAAGCTCCTCGATGCCCCTGAGCCGTACTGTGAAAGGAGTTCTCCGCCCGATCGCATGAGGGCACTGCTGATAGGCCTGGGAGATATTAAGATCCGTACGCAATGGGCCACAGGGAATCATGATTGCTCCATGGCGCGTTCCTGGGATGCCGTTGCCATGATACGTGGGCGAAGACACGGACGGCTGTTCAACTACCTAGATGGAAGGCGCGCTGTCTCTAAATGGCAACTCAGCAGCTGTGTTTCAGAAAACCTACACCAACCCAGCTGTTTCCGTTGTTCATGACCTGAGCAGGTCCCTAGGAATAGGAAGAGTTACAAAAATCCGAATTCCTGGGATGGACACCACATGAATGGATGTCACGGCCCTGGTAGCCGTCTTTCCGTCGTCTGCGCTACATGAGATGAGACTTATATCGAACAATCTAGCCTTCAACCACGTTGCTCAAACACTCCTCTTGCACCGCAAGTGATGGCGTAAAGAGACCTTACTTTCCGGATTCGTTCGCTAACCGCTTCCAAATCGGGCGTGATGATATGTGTCGCCGCCAACTTTGATGGCCACCACGTCTTCTTCGCAGTCTTTGTCACCAGACTGTTCTCAATTCAAGCTCGCACCGCGGCGCACTTGCTGCAGTGATCAACAGACCTCGTTCGATCCAGGATGCTCCTTGGATCAGTCAATGAGTTCAACAACCAGAAGGTCGTTATTCAGGGCCCGGGGAGCCCCTGACCTGTCTGACATTGATCATGAACTACGTGGCTACTGGTGCGTCGAACAACCCCCTCGAATCAAACCGATTACTACATGTCCCGGTACATCTGATTTGTTTCAGAAAGTTATTACTGCCATGATGAGGTCGGCCAGAAGCATAAGCCCTTTCATACCTCGAGCCATTTTACACGACACAACGAACTGGCAATGCCTGGGCCATCAGCAGACGCGTCTCCACTCGTTCGTGGTAACGTATGACAGGCCCTAAGCTAAGACCCGTCTCCTTGCGTCCGCTTGAGAAGCTGTCAACAAGCCGATCAAGATCGTCCTCATGGGCACCCGGGGGTGTCTGTGTCTGGTCGTGCCCGCTGGTGTCGCACGGCAACTGGTCTCGACATGATGACCGGCAGTGCTCGACAATGCCCGATGTGAGCGCTCTGCTCTGCCACTCGAGGCTCTTGCTGCGGGCAACCAAGATCGCCCCGTGGGGCCCGCCACTCGATTCTTTGCGTCCTCAAGACACTGTCTCACGCGCGGAGGCTAATGCCCACTTCCCACCGAGCCTGGAGGAGACGTGATCAAAAGCGTGATTCGCCGTGCTCTCCTTCGGATTACCTCGCCCGCAGTTTTCGTTGTATGCGAGCTAGGGAAGCATATTATTCTTTGGGCTGAGACACGATAACTTCTAATCTGGGCACTCGGCAGAGAAGGCCCGAGGGCGCAGCTCGGACGTCTCTACAATGACGAGCAGCATCAAGGACATTCGTCGGGCTCAAGGACATTGTCTAGGAAGGGGCAGATGGCAGTCGCCACGGTGGAGCAAGGCAACGGGACTTCCCCCAGTGGGCGCATGCTCCAGATTAGATGCGAGACCGTGACACCTCACCGCTACTCAGTGTCACCGAATAGGGGAGACCTGGAGGCGTCCGGTGTGCTGACGGACATGATTGGGCTGGCTGTCAAGCAACGTGATAAGTCAGGCAGAAAGTCATGAGAGGCCGCAGCCAGGATTTGACGACGTACGAAAGTCCCTAGTCTGCCCCCTAGCCCCCGATGTTCCCACGCGTCCGTGAACCTGGACCTGGACAAACAGACGAGAAGACCTGACCTCAGGGAGATTCACGTCACGGCCTCCGCGTCGTCCACCTGCACACATCGGAAGCCCTCCTTGCCAATATATCCTAAAGGGAAGAGCTAAGCGAGTATTCTGGAAGCCTCCAGACCCAGGAGCAACCTCTCCCTCTCCATCTCAGGGGCCTGATTGGGAAATGCCGTTCCTGACCAGGCTAGCCCTGGCAGGTGGTCATATCATATACCGTGACGGGCATCGGAAACGCTCGTAAGCTGGCTTGTCCTAGACCATCAGGTACATCAAGTAGGCTAGTCTTGTGATGCCACGCAGGAGGCGTGCATGTTGGCAAGGGGGTAGAAGCGCTGGACGTCAGTGGTAGTGGCCCTGACGGCTGCGGAGCCGCCCCTGCTCCACTATATTTCCAGTGGAGACACGCCGGGTGTCGTGCAGCAGGACGCCCTGCACAGACCACGAGGGGGGGGAGGACTCGCTTGGATGACGTCGAATCAGAAGCCCAGAGACCCTCCAGGATCCCCTCCAGGCAAACATCGTCGTCCACTCCACTTGCATCCTGCGTCTGATTCACACCTTACGTTAGCTGCTGGCAACCGTCTCGGGGCGCGCGCGCTGCCTGTCATCTGCTCTGATTTGTTTCGTTTCGTGTCGTTTCGTCTGTCTCTCACCAACCTCCTCCCTCCCCCTCTCTTCAACAGGCTCTGTTATGCCTAAGAAGAGACATCAGGCAAAGTACTCGAAACCGCAGTCCACAGCTCCCGCTTCTCTCAGCAGCCGCAGCTCTGCCCCGCATGGAGGCAAGGATGGCAAGTCTTTCTTTGATGAAACCCCCTCGCAGGCAGGCAGGCAAGCAAGCAAGCAATCAAGCATACTTCACGCGGCCAGCCGTTCCTCCATCCCCGTTCTGCTTTGCTAGTTGCGTGGCTTATCACGGACGAGATCACGATGGCTGACTTCCCGCGGCAACTCTAGATCATCCTGGGCGAAGCGTAAACGAACTGCTCGCTGATCTGCGACGGGCCAACTTGAACGGCCAGCCCTCTGCGAGCGTCGCACCGTTGACGGCCCCGAGCGTCCCGCCAGCTATCCGCCACATTCTCCAGCTACCCGAGACTCCAGCCCCTCCACCGAGACGGCCTACACGTCTCGATCCTCGAGGCCGGAGACTCCCTCCAGGACCACCGCCGCCTCGTAGCTGGCTGTCCCTGTCGCGCCATGCTCCGCGGCCGGGCAATGACTCGGCGCTCCCTGACTTTGGGTTCGAGCGTCGAGATCTGCCGGACGCTTACCGTCCTGAGAGCGGCAGCTTGATTGATATCTCTCTTCGGAGTATTGCTATCGACTGGGAATACCAGCGCGTATACAACCAATACTACCTGTACTCGCTACCTAGCCATCTCCGAGCTGCTCTTATTGCATATCTTGGAGTATGGCATGAGCCAGGAGTATCGTTACAGGACCTCAAGTCCCTTCTGCTCCCCCCTCCTGCAGATGAAGGCTATGGAAACGAGCCACCACCCTCTCCGAGCACCCTAAACGGTGACATCCAACATTTCGATTTAACAGGAGCCTTGGGAAGATTGCTCAAGCTCCGAGAGCTCTCGGATCTTCTCTTCCCTCCAGTACCAGGAGAGACTCGGGACAGTCTTCAAGACTCATGGGATACGCCAGAACAATTGCCCATACACCTTCCACTTTTGCCAACCCTAACGCATCTGTCGCTTTCCATCGACCCTCAAAACAGCTCATCGGTCTCGTGGAAGCAATTGCTTGCATTCTCGAGCCACCTGCCTAGGTTGACTCACCTCAGCCTGGCATACTGGCCGGAGCCATCTCTCACACCGAACGCAAAGTTTGCATCCGTCGTAACAGCCTCAGGGAGGATGGTGCAGTATGGCGGCACCAATCCGTACAGCCACTCCCTTGATGGCGACTGGTCAGAGGCCATCTCGGTCCTGCGGAGGTTGAGCAGAAATCTCTACGGTCTCGAATACCTCGACCTCACTGGCTGTGCGTCGTGGAACCAGGCTCTTACTCGGACGGCCGAGCACGACTTTGTGGACTGGTCGGGGCACTGGGGTAAGATTACTACCTTGATCCTTCGATCTGGGTTTTCCCGACCCAGCGACAACAGGTCCGCCGAAGCGGATAAGTATACGGAGACGATCGTGGCCGGACGTCGTGTTGAGAGACACATCAGGTCACAGCGAGCTGGCAAAGGACGATGGATCACAGTGGAGACGGATTTAGAACTAGAAGGCATGTAGATATCTTCAGCATCTTCAAAGGCTGCTTAGCATACAGGAAAATAATAGACTATCTAATTTAATTTACATATCCTACTACCCTAACTTCCACCTACGACCACTTATGCTTAAGTCATCAGAGCCTCAGCTTGATCGACCAGCATGGCGACTCGCATCCCAGAGTTCCTTGAACTTGCCTTTGCCACTTATCAAGAGCTCCTGCGGATTGCCCTCTTCAACCAAACACCCCTTCTCCAGCACGACAACACGGTCAAAGTCCACAACAGTCTCCAGTCGATGAGCGATCGATACGACCGTGTGATGACGGAACTCTTCGCGGATGATCTCTTGCATCAGCGCATCAGTGTGGTGGTCAACACTGCTCGTCGCCTCGTCGAAAAGCACCACTCTTCCTCTGTTCTTCCGCAGTATCGCACGCGCCAGCGAGAATAGTTGCTTCTGTCCATGGCTGAGCATGTCCTCCTCGAACTTGGCAGCCAAACCGCCCTTTGCATCGATCGTTTCCCACAGGCCCACTTTCTTCAGTGCAGATGCGACATCTTCTGGAGTGGCGGCGTCGTATGGGTCGATGTTCTGCTGGATCGTGCCAGGGAGGAAGAAGCTCTCCTGCGTAATGGCAATAAGGCGTGAGCGTACCTCCTCCCGTGGCAAAGTCGACAAATCGACGCCGTCTATCGTCATGCTTCCTGAGGACAGATCCAGAAGGCGCAGAAGGGCCAGGAGCAAAGAGGACTTGCCGCTCCCCGTCCGCCCACAGATCCCGACCTTCTGTCCCGCGCTCAGGGAGAGTGAAATCCCGTCGAGAGCCTTGGCTTCACGATCCTCACCGTAAGACGCCGAAATCTCTCGGATCTCTACGGCGCCGCTTGCCGGCCAGTCAGACGGCGGCGCGTGATTCTCGCCCGGCAGTCTCTCGTCCGGTGTTTCCTCCCTGAAGTTCTTGATCCGGGCCACCGCGCCGATTGACGTCTCAAGAGATGTCCAGAACTGAATGAGCAGCTTTAGCGTCTCGGCAAAGGAGATGAGTTGCACGAGCGACACACCAGTCAGCCCAACCGACACCGAGTCGCGGAGTCTGACTGCGAGACCGACGATCAGCAGAGCTAAGCCGGTCACAACCAGGTCCAACACCAGGGTCAGCCACTGCTGGAGCATGAGGAGGAGGTAGAATGGTCGCTGGGACTTGTCAACCAGCTTGTGGTTCAGCTCTAAGGCCGACTTTCCCCAGCCAAAGGCGCGGATTGTGGGCAGACCGCCTAGAGTCTCTAGGAACTGTGTGCTGTTGTTTCTCATGTTAGCAACCATGCAAAGGATAGATCTAGCATCCGCTCGACTTACTAAACCGGTGCTTTTTCTTCAAGATCGAGAAATCGCAGTTGTCTTGAAGTCCGCAGGTATGTCTTTTGAATGAGATAGAAGACTACCACGAGAAAAGGAAAGCATATAGCCAGATAACCAGTCGAAGATGCAAGTAGAGCCGACCTTGCGAAAAGCCCGAAGAAGTCAAGGGTAAAAGTTAGCAGCCTTTCATTCTAGGGGTCAAGTTTACTCACCAGCCAACGATACAATTAAAGCCAGAGGAAGAGACCTGTCAATGAGACCAATGTCCTGCGAGAATCTACTCCACTTTGTCAGTAATTACAGGATGGTAAATGTTACTAAGAGAAGAGCTTGCCTCGTTGTGATTGATCCAATATCTGTCTTATTGAACAGTGACAATGGCGCCCTGTCTCTCGTGAGCGAATGTTATGAAGCGTAATCAGATATCTGCTCACCACATGACCGTCTGTAGCAGACTTTGATGTAATTGGAGCCCTGCTCGAGCTGCAACAAAGACTAACCCAACCCTATATTGATCAGTATGGAGAAGTCCGGTCAAGCAAGGGCGGACTTACATGACCATAAGCCCGAATGCCAGCACTGCAAGAACCTGCAGTGCAGCATAGACGCCAAGATAGTATCCGATCCTCTGGTTAGAGTGCTCATTGTTCGCCTCGGTCCAGAAATTGAGCCACACAGCTTTGAAGAGTCAGAACAATTTCAAACTTTCGTATGAGAGGGCCTTACTTGGGAAGTTCTCCAAAAAGGCCCAGGAGATCTCAACCACGAGCATTGCAACAGTGAGCCATAGGCCAACCTGCCCGAAGAAAAAGCGGTAGACGGTAAAGTCTCCGCGCTGTCTCCTCTTGTCTCCGGGTGCTTCAGTGCCTTGGCTCATGGGTTGCCCTTGCTGTTTTACGGTCTCTTCAACAGAGCTGATAGACTCAATAGTCTCTTGATCGTCATTTGGCGTAGGTTGTTGGTAGATATCTTTGATATAGCCACTAGAGCGAAGCAGCTCATCAAAGGTTCCTTTTTCGCTGACTGTCCCATCCTTAAGAACAGTTACTTGATCAGCATAGGGCAAAAACTTGACTGCTTGGGTTGCGATAATGATTGTAGTGCCCCATTGTCTGAGCAATCCTCCTTCTCTGTCAAACAAGCGTCCAAACACTGTTTTGGATGTATGGTTGTCCAAACCACTAAAAATGTCATCAAAGAGAGCCACTTGTGGTCGAGAATAGACGGCCCTAGCAAGAGCCTGCGAGTGAATTTCGTTAGCTCTTATCACTGCCACTTCAATATTTCCTTTCAGTCATACATACCACACGTTGCTTCTGGCCGCCGCTCAAGGTAATACCTTTGCTTCCGACCACTGTTTCGTCGCCGTTTTCGAGACGCGAAACATCTTTGTCGAGGTCGCAGCAACGTATGACTGATTGGTAGAGTTCGGGGTCGAAGTTCGAGAAGCCGATAATGTTATTCCGGATTGTATCGTTCTGTGCCGGTACATAAATTCAGTCTCAAAAGATAGAGATGCTGATGTGATAGCTTGACTTACAATCAGCCAGGGGCTTTGCTCACACCAAGCCGATTTCTGACTTTTTAGGCTGATTTCACCTGTAACCACTGGAACTTCGCCCAGGAGTCCTTTCAAAAGTGTAGTCTTTCCGGAAGCAACAGAGCCAACTATCATTGTAAGGGATCCCACTTTCACCTCCATATTAACATTGTTGAGAACAGGTTTGTCTTCCTTCCACGAAAAAGAAGCATTCCTTATGACAATATCGGTGCTCCTTGACACTACCTCCTTGCCAGCCCCAGAAGAATGATCAAAAGTCTGTAATTCTATGCCAGGACCCAACTGAGCCGTCGAACTACTCTGGCTCGGAATGCTTACCTGCGATGATCCAGGTGCTACATCGCGGTTGTCAGTTCTGTCGGATTTCACTAGGAACGCCTCAATTCTCTTGAAGCATGCCAAGGCGGCAGACACATCCATGACCGTCTCAAACATCCAGAACAGGGGCTGGCCGAGGAGCATGATAAGCGAGAGAGACGAGAACATGCGTGTGGCATCGAGTGCCTCGCCTGTCTTGGCCGATGTGATGGTGAAGAAGGCGAAAGCGACCACGGGCGATATCAGAACCGGGACCTGTGCAAGCCCAGACGTGACGGCCGACATCATGCGGAAGGGCTTTGCCGCATCGATTTCCTTGACACGCAGGTTCGCAATCGCGGCGGTTAGTGTTGGTCCGAGACCACTCATCTTGATGCTTTTCATGTGGCCGAGCATAGTGGAAGTTATACCTGTTGGACCGTAAAGTTAGATTGTGATGAAGAAAGGGACACCAGGGTAGGGGAGCACCCACCAATTCGCTCCTGCACTTTCTCGACCCAGGCTAGCATGTACATCTGTGACGGCTTCGAACAGAGCATTGTTGCAGCCAGTGACAAGACGCAGACAATGATCGGGCCAATGCAAGCGAACCCGATCCTGATACTCAATAACCATGCGGCAAGAGCGATCTGAATGATGTTGGCCCAAAACTCATGAACTTCTCGCATAGCCCTGACGATAGCGTCCACCTGTGAACTGTCAGCAATTAGACACAGTCTTTCTCTTCATCCACATACATCGGTGCTCATGAGAGTTACAGCAGCAGAGTTATCAATGTCCGCAGTGCTCAGACTCGTCGACCGAGTGAAGACAGCAGATACGAGAATGCCTCTCAGCATTGTAACAGTTCGAAAAGATTGATGACGATAGAAGCTAGACGATAGGGCAATTCCGAGATACACTAGACCGTACGCAGCGATGAGGCCATAGCCAATGTTGACACTCTCCGCCGGATTCTGAAGGAATGACAGGAAGCGATTCAGCATAAGGGGCTGGCAAATCGTGAATGCGAGTAAGCAGAGCCGCGGTGCAACGACGCCTAGGAGTTGCCATTTAAGAATCTTCGCACACACGAGTATCAAGTTATGGGTTTTCGAAGAGGTTGCTATTGAGGCGGTTAGCGAGTACGACATTTATTCGAACATGTATAGTTGTACGAACCTCGATTCCAGGTATGCCAGAACTTTTCGTTCAGGAACTCCGTTCGCATCTGGTCGTCAAGGGAATAAAGGTCGACGGGTTTGAGAAGGCGGCCGAACCCATCCTTCAGCAATGGGTTCATCCACCAGAACACACCACGACTGTAAAGACCACTTGTGATTTCTGGATTGCGCCCCTTTTCGTCTGTTTCAAGGGAGACCTTCTTCTCTTTTGCTTCTAATAGTAGTAAGATAGCCTTCAAAGCAAACGAGGTGGTGAAGATAGCACGAATGGTGGTTGGCAACGATGTAAGCCATAAAGTGCGGAGGATGGCGCCATCAAAGATCAACGAGACGAGAAGGTACGCATTGAGAATGGACGATGGGCGGCGAGACTTGACGTGCTCAGAGTATGAGAGAGCGCAAAACGCCAGGCTCGACACAAGTGACACAGAAGATGCCGCAACGGATACCGTCCGCACCCTTCCGAATGTCTTTGACTGAGAAGCCCATAGGGCGACTAAGACTAATTGGAAGACAGCAAAAACGGCAATGACGCTAAGTTTGGTGATACGGAATAGGTCTCCCACAACAACGGAGGGCAACTTGCTCAAATATCTTAATCGTAGGGGAGCAGATATCAAAAGGAGGGCCGCAGGGGCAATGGTGAAGAAGTACTGCTCAAAAGCGATAGTGAAGTCGAAGTCATTACGGCACGAGTCAACAACGGGCCCGAATGCCTCGTCAGCCGTTGGGAAGCAACCCGCGGCAGAGGAAATGTTACTCATGATTGAACAGGTGGCATCGACACTCTAGTACTGAAAGCAGGTGAAAAGACTATCATTTCAAATTAACTCGCGCAGCAGCAGGCATATGGCATGAGGCTGTCGCTCTTATACGCCCTTGATCACACGGGCGACTTTGGTGAAGGATTGACAGGGGAGGTGAAGAGCTCCACAGCGCTTGATAGCGCGTGTAACCTTAACCCTATCTGGCAGGAGTCCGAGACTCAAGCCAAAAACGAGTCTGAAAGGGTTAGGGTTAACAGTGGGATATGCTCCCGTTATTGAGCAGAAGACTAAGTCGCCAACTAAGGAAAGTTCTCAATCAGGAAATTAAACTGGAATTGGTTTTCTATCAAGTTATACTATCAGTCAAAACAACATTCGGTAAGAGTTCCAGCCGAGTAGCTGACTCATGAGGTTGAGTGGCCGCCGAGACTCTAGAAGTATTCTCGCCATGGAATATCACGGCATGACCTGGGCTTAGTGATTCACTCTATCTTGTTGCCTACTTCCCAGAATCGAGGATGAGATCCCATCCGAAAGCTATATTATTTTCGATGAGTGAAGAGAACAGGTAAGTCGACCTGTTATCTAAAGTTTCGGGTCCGTCCCGGGTCCCGGTTATAGGGTTGAACGAATTCAAACCCAGCGTTCTGGAAGCTGTCGCGTGGCGTGACTAAGCACCTGTTCTGTCGGTGGGAGAAAGTGAAGCTTTGGTGCAACTCTTCACTTAAAGGATACCTAGACCACGCTGTGATCAGGCCTAATCAAACCACGGCAACGCACATAGGATCAAAGTAAGATGGCCAGCGTCGTATGCTTCAGTAGGTTATTGCACAGCAAACAGGCACCCACTGCGTAGCGATCTAGCGAGGCAAGACACATACCCGGTGGTGTAAGTGGTTGAGAAGACCCCGCCAGCCTCCACGGTGGGCGTCCCACAGCGCTGTACTTCTAGAGTGGTCAAGTAATACAACAGAGCACTCAATAGTCTCAGTATCTCAGTATCTCATTGTTGAATGTCTCGCGGTACCAGCTTTCCTCTGAACTTCTAGCAGCAGCGAGAGCGGCGGATGTGTCTGTCACACACTTGCTGAATCGTGACGGAGACTTAGCGCCGTTAGAGCACGAGTCAACGTCCCGAGAGGCAGAAAACATTCTTCCGCCAGCCAGCGAGGAGCTGACTACGGGACGACAAGTGACAGCCATTTATGGGCATTGAGTGCCCTTCCGGCATCTTATAGTCTCAGCAATTCACAGAGAGAGAGAGAGAATGATAGTATATTTGCGACAGTGGTTTCTTCAGGCTGAAGACTAATCTAAACTCAGTATTACCATCGTACACAAGTAACGACCTACAACACATCCCCAACGTCAATTGAGGAAGCACTGAGGAGGACGCGGTGGAGCGCGCTGCCAAGCGGGCGGGGGGCATTAACCTTTAAACTCACATCCAATCTGCAGGCTGCCGCAACGTGCCACCGCACAGTCTAGTACCACTGTAGTAAGTAGGTAGCGGGGATTAACAATCACTGTCACGATCTTTCTCTCTCTCTCTCTCTCTCTCACTGTTGCTCGGGTTCACTCGTTCAGGTTTCTCGTATTCGAGAGGCTGGTGGTGCTGTACTAAGGGCGCATGACGCAGGATGCTTAGCCTGGCTTCCTACTTATCCTCATCTGACTGTCCGAGGTGCCTACTTTGGCCCTCCTGTCTCCTATACAAGGTTTTTTTTGCTCATTCTAAGGAATACCCTGCGGGTTGGCGAGCATCGAGTCAATCAGATCAACTGCAGGCGGCACTGAGATAAAACAGTGCAGAAGGAGAGTCCTAGATGCTCTATTCAGCCGTTACATTAAACTAGTCTAGCACGACACGTATAGTGGGCATTTTGAGTCAGATCACCAGCCGTTAGTGGCCTGCCCTGTTCTGGCGGAGCACCAGCCCGACACAAGCGCCGATCCGGGCACAACCGCCGTTGTCAGTCACTTTGCAGTGATTTTGTAAGTGGGCGGAGAATTCGATCGCACGCGGCCGCCGGGCCACCGCCCATCTCGTATACGGCTGTGAACGAAGGATAGGATCGAGTAGAGTAGCATAGTGTTGGCACAGTACATAGGGTGGTAGTATCAGCAGCAGTAGGCTGTTGGTAGTTTCTATTCTAATTTAGTCCAGTATGTCGTGTTGCTTGGCCCGCCACCAACATGCCGCTCCGAATCAACCTACATGCACATGCACATGTTCGGACTGCTCGCGTTGCCGTCGACTCGATTACCTACCCAGCTGCCTACCTCGCCTACCCTCCATCTTTTCTTTGTATGTACCATTTATAATGGTCCCGGTGGTGTGGTCCACCCCGAACCTACCTTACCCTACATGCGTTTCCCGTCTGTTCTTCCACCTCTACCTCCCACCTCCTCCTCTCACCTATTCGCTCCCCGACGATGATCGCAAAGATGATGAGACGCAGGCTGTTGCTGTACAGCCAAGCAGCAGTCGTCCTCTTGCTTTTCATCTATCTATTCGTGAGCTATGACAGCTTCAGCTCCGGCCTTGACATCTCGCACTATTCAGGTCAGTTTGGCGTGAGGCTGCAGCCGCTTACCTATGCTTTAAGTGTGGAGCACTGAACAGGATACCAGATTCATGGCGGACAGGCAAACAAATAGCAGACAATGGCGACAAGAAGGCACAAGTCCAGCTCCCTGCTCCGACGAAGACTTCTCCGATTGCTGGGAAGAGTAGCCCAACTGCGATTGAGCGACCAAAGGAAAAGGTGACAACCGAGCCGACAAGTGAGGACAAGCCACAAGAAGATGTAAAGGAAGACAAGCATATCTCGCACGAGCAAGAAGACGCTGCAGACAAGGATAAGGGGCCAAATGAAGAAAACAACCAAGACAAAGCAAACACAGAGCTGATGATCAAAGCCCGGGAATATGCCCGTGCCATCATGGACCCAGCCGACACCAGCGTCCCACGAATGGCCTGCCCAGCAGTGAACAGCACCCGATACGAGCACCTCACAGTGTCGAGGTGGGATCGCAAGCACAAGTACTTCATCGCCCTCGACCTGCGCAAGGTGATGGACCTCATGCCCCGGCTCATGGGCTCTGTGGTCGAGGCCATCCGCTTCCTCGGCCCCCGACATACCGCCCTGTCCATTGTCGAGGGCAACTCGGACGACGGCACCGCCGAGGTCCTGGCCCTGCTCAAGCCCGAGCTCGAGGCGCTCGGCGTCGAGTACTTCCTCGTCAACAGCGCCATCGACCCCAAGGACGGCGGCCGCATCGAGAAGCTCGCCCAGCTGCGGTCGCAGGCCCTCGAGCCGCTGCGCAACAGCCGCAACGCAACAGCCGCGGCCCTCGCGCTGCCGGGCTCGTCGCTGTCGTTCGCCGACGACGCGACCGTCATCTTCATCAACGACGTGGCCCTCTGCGCCGAGGACATCCTCGAGCTGGCGCACCAGCGCGTGGCGCAGGGCGCCGACATGACGTGTGCGATGGACTGGGCGTACCTCAGCGGGCTGGACGAGCCGCCCGCCTTCTACGACGTCTGGGTCGCGCGCGGCATCACGGGCGACACCTTCTTCGAGATCCCCGACGACGGCAGCTGGGCCCACGCGCTGCGGCCCTTCGAGCGCGACCCCCCGACGCTGGCGCGCCTCGCCGCGCACCGCCCCTTCCAGGCGTTCGCGTGCTGGAACGGCGCCGTGACCTTCGCCGCGCGCCCCGTCCTCGAGCGCGCGCTCGACTTCCGCGTCAGCGCCAAGGGCGAGTGCTTCCAGGGCGAGCCGCAGCTGTTCTGCAAGGACATGTGGTGGCACGGGTACGGCAAGATCGCCGTCGTCCCTAGCGTCAACCTCGAGTACACGGACGAGAGGGGCCGGCACATCAAGCAGGACAAGGGGTACGCGAGCAACTGGACGGCGGTGGAGGACGAGGGCGACTTGCCGTTGCGGATCGACTGGGCGGGACCGCCGGACATGGTGAAGTGCATGCCCAGCTTCGATAGACAGAGCTGGCTGCCGTGGAACGAGTCCTTGGCGTGATCACGCATCAGAGCATGGGATTGGCGTTGAGGCTGTTTTGATCGTGCCGGGAGTTTTGGTCCAGGAAACGGCCAGGTGTTGTGATACCCATTTTGCCTTTTGTTTCTAGAGTATGATTCGCCTGGATCTAATATCAGGGCTTGCCCACAGCTCGTAAATGCAAGCAAGCGTCTGCACTGCTTTCCCGTGCAATACCGTCAGCGTGCACGATTCACAACTGACTGCTTGACCACGGTCGATTGTAACAGATGTCCATGATGAAAGACCCTTTAAAGCCACCCGCAAGGGTCTCACAACCGTTATATCGTCGGGATGCAAGACACTGTCTCACAAAGAATCTGAACAGCCTCAAGCAGCGCTGCGCATAGACCGGCCACCAGAGCCAACGGCTCCAGGTTATCGTCTGGCAGCCGAGTAAGGGTCAAACGCAAAGGCGTGTACCTGTCGCAGCGCATAGAGACCTGCAAGCGACCAGGCAAGGCACAGTGGTAGCGGGATGAGAGCAGAGAGGAAGAGTGCGCGGGTTCGTCTGCGCTAAAGGCGTCGAGATTTTCGCAGACATGACCAGTCCGATAGCATCGTCGTCTTGGCACGAGGTCGTGGTGTCCGGCAATTGGAGCAAAGGGATGAATGTATGGGCTTTTTGTCTGGGTTGTCCTAACGTTGGCGGGTGTGGAGCCGGGGCGGACGGGACCAAGACTCAAGACATGTGTCGTACCTGCAGTAGCGTGACCCTTCCTTACCTTGTGGGCGAGACACCTGTGTCAGTCGCCCGCACCTCTCCACCAACGCATTACACCTCACACATTCAAAAGAGAAGAAAAAAGCACTTTCACACCGCTCGGTCAGCAGAATCAATTTCAGCAGGGGGAGAATGCAAGTGTCACCTGGACGATGAGAAATGAGGAGCAGGACTGTGCAATGTTGGAATGTCATTATTGTCTCTTGGGCGAAGTAAGAACAAGAAGGCCCCGAGGCATGCCTGGGTATCGTAGTAGAATAGAAAGTAAAGCTAAACACAATGCAAGATGCAAGTAATAAGAGGCCCTCCCGCCGCCGCGAGCGGGAGCAGACCAAATCTTTTCCACCAAATGCCTGAAACTCCTTGCCGTCGAGGTGCGAAAGAGGCCGCCACTGCGCTGCAATGTTCCATAGCGGAAGAAAGAGCCAACAGTGTCATCCAACATCGCACAGAAAAAAATTGAGGGTTTTCTTTGGGGGATGATGGTTAGGTCGGGCGGATTGTGGAGGTGATTAGAGAAGATGCCGCATATTTGGATCGTAACTCATGACTCATGGCCGTGCCGGTATTAGATGGCGTGTTCCTCCGAGCACTTTGATGAATGACGGTTCGAAATTACAGCAACGCGGCAACGGCGGCGGCGACCAACAGGGCTAGAGCGCCAGCCGGGCCCGCAACGGAGGCACCGCTTAGCGGCACCGTTGACGGAGTCGGGGTGGCGGTGACCGGGACGATCTGGGAGGTGCTGTTGGCGGACGGGAAGGTCACCTCGGCGGACAAAGTTGAGGTGCAAGTCGTCGCATAGCCGGTAGACTTGACAGTGGTGGTGGTGTTCTTGGCCTCGTAGAACGTGCTAGTAGACGTGCTAGAGGCGGATGAAGACGTCGATGACGACGACGAGGTGCTGGAGGTGGAGGTGCTGGTCGGGGTCGGGATTTCAGAGCTGAGACTGCCAGTCACGCCGTACTTGACTGCGCAGTCGGCCAGGCCCATTCCCTCGGGGCAGCAGAAGGTCTCGCCATCAGTGTCCGCAGTGCAGTAGAAGCCGGCGTCGCAAGAGTCTAGAAAGTGAGATTAGAGTGAGCAATATGTCCTACACCCGGACGGTAGTGTCTATATTCGGGAGAACCTACTGCCACTGCCATCAGGGCAGCACGTCTGGGCGGCGGCGGTGTTGTAGCAGTGGATGGACTTGTCCTTGGAGGCGCATTGGTCGAATCCAGCACCACAGGCCTCAGCGCAAGTCGCTCCCATACCGCAGTACTGCTGAGTGGGCGTGTAGCCAGAGTCGTCGCGACCAACAATTCCAAACATCTCGCGGACGGACATGGTCAGCTTGACGGGCTTGTAGGGCATCGGCTCAGCGATGACATGAGAGGCGACGGCGAGAAACGCCAGGGCGGAGGCGGACTTGAAAAGCATCTTGCTGGGTTTGTGATTCTCGGAAGTGATTCGTGATAATATGTATCGGTTTGTTTTCTGCTTTGGTCTCGGGGGTGGGAGAAAGCTGAGGTTGACGATGCGATGAAGACGACGAAAAAGAGCGGTTGCGCGGTGGGTAAATGAATGGACAGAGTAAAATACTCTTATGAAGAAGTAGTGAACGAAGGTATCGTCAACGAAGCGTCAACACGGCGGCGGTACGGATAGCAGAAGAGGAAAACCCCAGAAAACAGTACAAAGCAGGCGGTTTGGGGGGAGAGAGCGATAAATAGGGTGGGCTTGTCTGACTGTGTGTGTGGTGCTTGGGTGCTGTGGTAGCAGCCAAGGTCACCCAAGCCAGTCTCCTTAATTTTACTCACAGACGGGCTTGACTGGCCCTTGTCACCTCGAAGACCACCCACACCCCGGTCATGGCCACCAAAAGCGCCATCAACAGAGCACACGGTTATCAGCGAGCGCCAGGCCAAACCCTGGTCGCTTGCAAGAGGTGAGATTGAAAGATTTCGACTGGCCTGGGCGCCACCGATGGCAAAGTGCTCCGTCTTGGCGGCTTTGTTGCGCTTCATTCTCACGACTACACAAAGACAGCATCACTAGACATCGAGGAACTCAAACAAACAGACAGAGAGACAGACAGACAAAGAAGCAGCGCGCCTGCTGGGCTACCAAGAGCATGGCCCTTGAAGAAATGCAACGCAGCATGATTGCGACAAAGAGAGACGCCGCCCGGCCACTTGGCCCATCTTGCGGACGCATACTCAACGGCCAGACTAACAGCCGTGGGTTGTAGAGTAGATGGAAGCGAAATGAGGCTAGACGGCGATGAAAGAAGACAAGATCCGGGAGGAGGACGGGCTTCAGCAGCCAACGGCAATCGCTCAAGCGGAGTCTGTATACGTGTGTCAGAGTGTCTGGCCCCAGATCCAATTAAACCAGAAGGCTGCGGATCGCTCTGGCGATGGACAATCTTGGCAGGCCAGCGAGAGCCAGCAAGCCTTGTGGAGGAAGCTATTTGCACAAGTGAAATGAGAATTGGCGGCAAATGGACGAGGACACGCAACAAACGGAGAAGAGGAGAGATCATGGATGGGAACATGGGAAAAAGGAGGAAGAGGCTAATCAACGTGGTCCAACTAGAGTGAAATAACCCCTGCCCGCATTTAGCTGATTCGCCGGCGATCGCTCTAAATCCATGGGGCCGTTCCTGCATTTTGTTCTGGTGCAGTAGAGCCCGCCAGGAACGGGCCTCTTATTGGTTGTCTCGCGCTCTGCCCGCCCCCAGTCTCAGGAACTGGCGCCCAGAGCTGGCTGTATGGCTGGCTGATGCATGACATTTCAAATTGCCCACTGCATAATTAGAAACACATGCACTCACACTTTGCACAATAACACGGTATAGACATATCAGGGACAGGCTGCAGATGACATCATGACACCAGATGCAGGTATGTCTGTATGCTGACATCAATGGCTTCTGGAAGCATTACCATGTCTTGTATCGATATAGCATCTGAACCGAGAGCGGCTCATTCGAATGTGTCAATACAAGGATGTAGGAAGAATTAGCAGCTCGGTTCATTCGGTGGAGGATTCTGCAGACAATCTGCTGCTGCCCTCGGCACAGATATCGCTTGCATTACAGCCTCTTCCTGTCGGGTGTGTCTCTGCCGGTCATGATATCGGTGATCCTCAATCTCGAGGTCATAGTGCATGCACTAAGCGCAGCTTCCTAGCATGACAACTTACCATCGAAGATATATGACCTGGCCAACATGAAAGATTATATTCACGTGATGATAGGCAGAGCTACGTGTGAAGAAAGGTAATTTGAAGAACAGAATATTCTATCTTTCCTGCCCACTCCTTCTGTTGTTGAGATGGTCCGTAACGCTGCTTTAACAATTTGGAGATATAAGATAACGCCAATGGACAACAATCTGGTTGTGCTTTTCCGTTTCATCCGTTCCCTGATTATGTATAGCCGTCCTAGCATATCGTAGAGTACAACCTTTTTTTCATGGAAGATAAAGCCCAGTTTGATCACAGCTCCCAACACCGAGAAAGAAAGCCCTGACAAACAGTCTCCGGCCGAAAAAGGGTAGCGAAATTGAAGGTAAGTAAGTTTGAAGAGAAGTGAAAGTTGAAAGCCTTAGGCGTTGAAGAGAGGCATCTATGACGAACACTCCTGCTTCAGCGATCCTCCAACCCGTCCATCTTCGCCAGCCACTTGTTCATCTGGGAATACTTCTCCTGGAACGTCTTCTCCAGCTTCTGGCAGGCGATATACATGGGATCTCCGGGCTTCCAGTATGTATAGCAGTTGTTGAACATCTGTTGCATGTCCCCGAGGAACTCCTCGTCGCTGGTGTATCCATGCGCGTCCATCTTCGCCTTCATCGTGCCAAGATCCATCGGCCGCTTAATCTTGTCCAGGTAGTCCGGGACGCCATCCGTGGCGGGATCAACAGGCTCCTTGAAAGGGCCGACGAGGCGTGTCCAGAAGCCTTGGAGTCCATTAGCCGAGATAACTCATCATGATAGAGCAACAGAATGCCCGAGAATGAATAGATAAGATCAAGAGCTTACCAGGCCCAGAGAGCATTCGATTCAAAAGATCATCGCAGAATCTCACTTTGTCCCCTATTGTGAATTCGAGATCTCCGACATTAGCGTTGTTCGACCGACGTCTCCCTTGGGGCTTGGGTCCCGGCAAGGAGTTGCGACCTGGTTTCCGACCGGGCCCTGCTTTGGGAGTGGACTGAGTGGATGTGGTAGGTAGGATATCAGAGTATCGCTGTTTCTTCGCAACAGCAGCATAGCCATCATCGCTCTCCTCCTCAATATAATGCACATTCTTGCGGGCTTGATGGCCTGCAGACGTAGATCCGTTGACCTGCACGACGGGGGTGGTGTCCAGGGAGCTCATAGCCACTACCAGCTCACTAAGAACCTCCTGCGGTAAGGATTTGGCAAACTCGGCGCGTGATTCCGATGATCTCATGTACTCGGCAGCCCACATCAGGAGTAGCTTCCTCAGGGATGAGCCCTCTGGCGTGTCCTTCCACACCTGGACCAGCAAAGGCGTGGAGGGGATCGTGTCAGTGAGCCGTCGAACCTCCGACATCGCCTCCAGAGTTCTGTCACAGAGGCCTTCAATGTTCAGAATATGTCCCAATTTCCAGACATCGACCAGAATCTCGTACGACGGGATTGTCTGCGCATTAGGAAAGACCTCTCCAGTGTACATGAAGTTCTGAACGAAGGCGAAGGCCTCGATCGGCGTGTCGGGAAGCTTGACAAGAAATTCTACCTTTTCATCTTCAGCACTGGCTTCGAAATACTCGCGATAGTAACTTGACTTGGCGCAGAGAAAGTCTTTCTGAATGCCAAACGGAATTTCATCTGGACTAACGAGTATGACAACGAAGGTAGGATGCGGATCGCTGTGACTTTGTCAGACTTCCTCGTGCAAATTGAGCATCTTCTAGGTTGCTTACAGCCAGGAGAATGCAGACGGTTCTTCGGATGTCTTAGTAGCGATTTTCTTCTCGTCGTTGTTGATGCTGTCCATGGTGGCAATGGTCTCCTGCCGCAACACTATGTTTGCTGTCAGTACCTCAGTCAATTTCGTACCAAGTACACGATGACCAATTGATCTAGAAAACGTAATTCACATGACTAGAAATATGAAAATTCTGAAACACTTGATCATTCTCGGAACAGACGGCATCTCGCCGACGAACCGCTCATGACAGACAGTGAGAAGCGTAGGAACACATTCACGACATATATCCAACCATCAAGTTGATCCGAGGAAGATACAGGGGTCGATATAGAGCTTAAGGCTTCGGCAATTGGCACAATGAAGATGAAATACGCTTACATTGAAGCCCGGTCTCACAGATCAGAGACCTTCAATACCATGAGCGCTTCTCAGAAGAGCGGACCACCCGATCACAAAAGACGGCCTGATGGCAATCGCAGGCACAATTTGGACCTAGAGTAATGAACGAGGCTTGCAAAGAGAGAACAGAGGGATTGATTCTTTGATGTCAATTGATGAAAGGACTCTGTTCCCTCGATGCTTGGTGAGAATTGTGATGAGTCCACGGTGTGAAATTGAAGCTGTCGCTCCTTCACTATCCCAGAATTTGAGGTGGCTTGTGCAGGGGCAACCACACCGTCTGGAAGCTGCCGCCGTGGGGTCCGTCAGAGCACGGACCATAGCGGCTGGCGCAGTAGTTTCCCATTCTGCAACACTTGGATTGGAGAACAGGCAAGTGCTACTGCTGATCATCCACCTTGCCTGATAAGTCTGTCGATTGATGCACTTTGAGCATGTTCGCAGCCTTGAAATTGCTCAACAGGGTGTGATAGCTCCAGTAAGCGAGGTTATATGCACGAAACAAGATTCTGCTCTTTTTACGAGCAAGTACGATGCACTTAAGAGGAGACATGTCTTTACCATGCCCGGGAATGAGCAGCTGGCGAGGAAGTGCCCCTCCAAAGCTAGGCAACACTCATAACCAGCCTCGAAAGCCGCGTAATGACACTCTTGAGCTCGAGTCTATTGGTTGATGATCGAATCACGCCTCGAGCAACCACAGGATGGCTGCATGCCGCTATCCAGATGCGGTCTCATCCCACGAAGAAGGGCGAACGCCAAGTGCGTCTTCAAGCGGCCTCAATCGGTTGTCCCGATAAGCCATCACCAGAAACGACAGAGAAGCTGGAGTGACAGTGATATAAGATAAGGTAAAGCACTTGTAACTCTCTCCCAGCGCTCGACTTCCGTCAAGCCAGGCGAGCCTTTCTCTATGTCCAAGCTGCAAAAGTCCCTCCTCACCTCGTCACGTTCCTCGTCATCAATGGGCTGTCAGGGCTCCCGTGAAGACCTACGACCAAGCACTCTTCTCACCGAATCAGACAGCCTCCTGTCTCCCGGCCCACGACCTGCTCCGATGGGCTATCCTTCCACCTCTCCACTCGCCGCGCAGCACGAGCGCCTTATTCTCGAGCTGCTTCCACTGAAAGACGGGCCCCAGTTCCGCGAGTGGATCAGCGGTCCCTTCGTGTGTGGCTCATGGCATGAGTTCTGCCGTGACTTCCTGGCTCGCAACCCCAACTCGCCCGAGCCAGACAAAACCAAGACGGCACAGGCTGCGAAAGACGCCATCAAGTCCAAGACGGTCAAATACCTGTCTTACCACCCAGAGAAGGACGGCTGGTCCCCGGAGGACCACCATGTCCGCTTCATCGTCACAGTCATCTCCGACAACTTGCTCAAGGGAGGCATATGGAGTGAGGATGATTGGAGGAAGAGGGGCATCGACGTTGCAAAGGCTGCATACGAGGTGCTGAGCTTCCTACGGGCGATGGGCATGAACGGCGTTGACCCGAACCCTCCAAGCTACGAGGCTCAGTTCTGATACCCATAATGCCATGAACTTTGTGATACTCTCTTTGATGTAGATGACAAGTCACGTCTCACAATCGATGATTTAGTGCAAAGTCTATTTCTTGAAGGCTTGCGATGAGTTCCAAGATGACTTGACATGTGAAAAGACCGGACGACTGTCCCGCGATAAGAAAATCAAGATACGTCAGCGACATGATCGCAGCTGATTTGCTGGGTTTTATCTCTGCTGCAAGAGACCAAATATGATTGTATGCTGTTGGAGTTGTCTAGGCTACCCAATGAAGCGAGAGAATGAGCGCTGCAGCAAGTACATAGTCCTAGTTGATATTGCGTGATAGCAGATGTGTATCAGGACGGCCAGTGACATATTGGGACAAGGCATGGTCGCTCGTCATCCCAGACACCCTGAGGTGCATGCATTAAAGTTTTGACACTGAGGTGAGTCTCCATATCTGGCGCTGCGTCAAGAGTGAACAGATCGGTACCTGTATTCCCGATATTGGAGACGACAGGTTGGCGGATGTGCTTACCGGCGACAGCTTACAGCATAACATGCACCATAGTCTATAAACTAATACCTATCGAGGTTCCAATGGAATAGAAGAACTATCTCAATTATCGGTAGGTCACACTAGATGTCAGAAAGTGATCAAGCAAGCCGTTACTTTTCCAAGGTAACCTTCAATATGACAACTGGCTGTTGTAAGGTACGTCCAGAGGGGATCAATCACATGTGAATTCAGCAGATCCACGATGCATAACTACGCCTTAGAGCGAACTCGCACATGACAACCCGTCGCCTGCACACAACTTGCTGTACCCGAGCTCAACCATGGTTCGATCGGCAGTTACATCGAGACCGACGAGCCGCCGGACGAGCATCTGGGGAAGCAGGCTCGCCCATCCGCTGCGACCCATCCATCCACGCACCAAGTCGTTGAGAGACAAGCGACACCGTTCTGTCTCGGTCGCCTCAACCGAATTACATCACGGCCGACAGCGCTGGCGTCATTGGAGGGGCTCTGATCTGATCCCCGCGCTGGCGTGGCATCAGATCCTGAGAATCAGGAGGTAAATGAGGAGAAATCACGATACACTCGGGACCTGTTCCGAGTCCGACCCGTCTCCGTCCCCCACCACAAAATGGCGGTCCGATCTGGGGTCATCAAGGAAAAGCGCCTATTGGAGGGTTGATGGACGGTTGAGGCGGCAGAGTCTCGACGGTGTGCTGCAGGTGCGGGATGGAGGGGATGTCCCTCTATGAGCTTGGACACACATGCACATGTTGAACACCATACAACGTCAAAGGGAGGTTGTAACAGATTGCACCACCAGTTCGTGGATCCTACGTCAAAGCTTTGGGCGATCACGGAATATCCAACCGAGAAGTATGAAAATCTGGACAAGGGCAGAGCCTGAGACAGCTGCTGGATTGAGAACTATCCCGGTTGTAGAAGTCCGGAACCTCGAACACAAGGTCGCCTCCAAGATACCTACGAGATAGTTTCACCGGCTGCAACCGAAGGGCAAAGCAGTCGGGGCGGATGGTCCTAAATTACTGCGAAGTAATCTGTGGGCAAGCGAAACCCCAATTGATTGTCCATGCATCGGAGCATTTAATCTGGCTCAGACCCTCGCAGCCGTTGGTTGGAGGGCTGCGGTGTAACATCTTTGAGTAAAAGAGCTGCAGGTGTTGGGGGGCTAACTACTGCAAGTCAACCTTTTCAGACACCTAAGGTCTGGCCTCAGATCTCAGGGTCCAGGCACCGGAGGCTCTCTCGCCGGGTGAAAGAGGGTATTTGATATGCAATTGAGGTTATCACGGTGGTTTCACTCCTAGACAGTCAATGACAATTGCATGGGCGTACATGTAGCGTCTTTGAAATTTTCAATTGATGCTTGCCGTAGAGGCCGTCGAGCATTTTCAGATGTCTCACCGCTTCAAGCGCCCAGCTCCCTATCCAGTAGTAAATATCGCGGTGGGGAAGTAGCAAGTGCTATCAGGAGAGCCGACTCCAGGCGTCAACTGATACCGAAGCTTTCCGCTAAGCCGGTCGCGACAGTGCATGAGGGAAATAGACTCCGGGCTGGTCTTTGTGGATAATGCCCCATTAGGATACTGTCAGCCCGATATTTGGCCGATGTAGATATCTTATCATTTAGCGTAGCCGGCGGGGCTTGGTGAGATAGGTGTCACTGAAAAGCTGGGGGCCTGGTTAATTGCGCTATCGTCGCCTCGGCTCGGCAGTCATGGAGGCTCTTCGGGCCTTCGGCGGTTTCGAAATTTACTGGCATTCTTGAGGCGGCCGAGGAGTTCCAGGAGTCGTGGTCCAAGCTCATTCAAGGGTTGGCTCAACCTTCTGAAGTCAGGGACTCTGCTTAGGAATTGCAGGCGGCTCGTTATCATCATCGTCATCATCAAAATCTGCATCTGAATCGCCAATTTCGTCTCCGCTGTCTCGGCGTTGCCCAATGAGGATATCCTCACTGCCCTGCCATTGAGGTGGCGGAGCTGGCATCGCTCCGTCGTCGTCCTCCTGCCATCCGTACTCCTCGTCGTCGCCGTTGGCAAGCTCAAATGCCGTATCGCCAAGTTTACGTTTGTGAGCTGCTGTTGTTGAGAGATTGATGGACTGTTGGCTACTGTCATACTTCAGGGGTGATAGCCCGGTCTACATTCAGTTAGCATGCATGGCGTTTGATCCTTCCTTCCGACGGGAGGATAAAGACACGGGGAAGACGCACAGCTACAATCTTGAAAGCAGAGATGCTCCGAATTGAATCCGAACTTGCTTTCCCGTTGACTTTCTGCACACCGATGAGGTGCACGCTCGATGCTTCATCATCCTTCCAGATCCAGTCTCGGAACACCACCAGCCTAGTAGTAACACCTTGCTCCCAAGCGTTTGCATTTATAGCAGGGATCAAGGTTGCTCGTCTGTCGGCCTGCATTCTTGTAGCACATTGTGTAAGAACAACGACGGCAATGTTCCGAGTTGCTGCAAGCTTTTGAATCGCGCCAATGATATACTGCAGGACCTGCAACCTCCTGGCTGACGATGATATGCCTGGATGGTCAGATTCGCTTACACGTGCATCAAGGCCTGGGAATTACCTTTATTGGGGCCTCTTGAACTAGCTTTCAAGTCCAGAGTCCTCGGAAACGCATGATTGACCAAGGCAGACAACGAGTCAATGACGAGGAGGGTAGCTCCTTCCGGGATGAAGGTCGTAGTCGGTCTGCACACCAAGGCGATGAAGTGCGGTAAAGTCGGACAATTGTAGTGTGTGAATCCATCTAGCACGGTCTGATCGACTGACGCAGACTCGCCAGTATGGAAATCGACGATCCTGTCGTAGCAAACATCAAAGAAGCCGTCTATCCTAGCCAGTCAACTACGCGAACCGCAAGGTGTGGAGATAGAGTAAAGGGGCGGAGAACAGACCTACCCACACAACACCCTTCCCGTCTCTGAGGGCATTGGCGGCTAGTTGAATCCTGTAGATGATTAAGTTGACTGTGGCATTTGTGGAAGTGATCATTATTTACCCGAGTGTAGTCTTGCCAGAGCCAGGGGGCCCCCAGATCTCTGTTACTTGACCTCTGAAGAAGCCGCCTGTGCTTGCTTCTGGAGCAGACTCGGACAGTCCAAGCCCTAGGGACCGGTCAAGGTCATCGAGACCACTCGGTATGTACTTTGAGCTGTCATCATTCAAAATCTCTAGGGCTTCTGCAGCTGAGACAGTTGGCAGTCGATCTGTGACATGTTAGTATTTGCTCTACAGAGAAACGAGGGGCAAAACACATACGTGTAGAAGGCAAATCGAAGCTCGAGACGTCATGCCCGTGCAATGCGTGATAATCCATTTCTGACTGCGTGATGCCTGATTATGCAGCCCTTTCACGAGAGAGGCATATCACGGGTTGCAACGTGCATCGTGACTTGTTCTATATATGCAGATGCTGGCTTCGGATGATATCCATGGATCGAAGCAAGCGCGTCCTAGCACTTTACGCGCCGGCACGTGACGGAAATTGAGAAGGTATCATATTAGTAAGATCGTAGAGGCCTAGCAACCCAGGCTTCACAGAATACAAGAGGTTCTCCATAGCCGGCGAACACCTCACACACAAAGAAATGGTAGAAAAACAACAAGCATGAGATCGCAGACTATCAAATATTGTAACAAATTACAACATATCCACGTCACTGGACAAAGCAACATGTGACTCTATTTGCAGCACTTTCAGGCACACTTGTGCAAGAGCAGCCCCCTATAGTTGCAGACTTACAGGGCAGTCCAAGGTACTTCAGAGCAAAACAGGGCTGTCTTTTCAAGGTTATGTTTCTTTTTTCAACTGCCGCACAACAAAGAATTTCTTCTTCTCGCCTACTAATGATGTTATCCAGTGTTGCCTTCTCATTTCTCTGGAAATTAAGGGCACCGTAAAAAGAATTACAAACCTTTTATTGATGTGATCAGTCATCCCCCTGAATTATTGTTCCTCGTCACTACCTAGGCACCTAGGTAGGGGGCACCGGAAAAGATCTCGGTACCTCGGGTCAGGCTTGCAGCGAGCGAGATTGATTTCAACGAACGCCGCAAACATGGAACACACATATGCTCTCGCCTCGTTCCATTTTCCCTGGCTCGTATGTCTCGGTCGAGTTTCGAAATTCCATGCTCTTCTACCCGGGAAACCCCACACCTGAGGGACCGCCGCGAAATTGGATGGGCAGCCAGCTGTGTGGGGGTTGGGTCTACACTACATAGTACTCTACCAGGTTAGCTCGGAGTCCGTCGCACAGAGTCAAGTCATTTCATGAAGCCTCGTGATAAGGTAGACCCCATATTGACCCCAGTTACTCCAACTGCCTAGTAGTAGCATAGTGTTATTTCCTGGAGAATGCACAAGGTCTAGACGTCTTCTCCCGAAGCAGACGATATCGACCTGGATGGAAGAGCTGTGCCGGGAATGGCGGCTGCACAGTTCCGTCGGATAAGTCA